GGGGAATTTCAGAGAATGAGGCATTTTTTTTAAAATGACAAAACAGTCGTGAAGGTCATTTTTTCCCCTGTGTGCTCTAAAAAACCATCATGTGCCTGTTTTCTTTTTTTAATCCAATTGACCATTTTATTCGTCTTCCTGGCAAAATCTTTTCATATTATTAAGAACAGTATTAGCACCAGGGAACATTTTAGAGAATTCTTTTGTTAAATCATAACCATCTCTTCCGGAATGCGATTCTCAGAAGACAAGTATTTTATTGCAGGAATGTCTCTGTGTTTGCACTCTAATGGTCCATCCACTCCTCCACCTCTCTCTCTCTCCCCCCCCCGCCATACTCTCACATGTCTCCTACATGCACATGCACACTCACACACATGCACATGCACACCCTTTGGTCAAACTGCCAGCATGTGTTGCTATTCTTACCCATATTCAGAAGTCATGATAGGACATGTAAAACAGGTGAAATAGAGACACAGAACTAGAATGCCATAAGCCTCTGCTCTCTCCCTTTGGCTCCTCTTTTTTTTTTTTTTTTTTTATTACTTCCAAATCTTAGACAAATTTATTTCTTTGGTCAGCATTTCTGTCAACCAAGTCACCCCCCATGACACAAAAATAAGTGTTGGGAGAAATATCCACTGTTAAGAACAGACCTTAGGATGGATTTGTGTCCAGATATTCCTCCTGTTTTGATCTGCATATTAGTCCATTAAGTAAAGGATGGCGAGTGCCAAAAACATGGAAAGTTCATCAGCAACCAGCAGCGACTGGTTTCCAAACTTTTTATTTAGAGTGATTGCTCACAGAGATGGCTGATAAATTTAGCTGCATGCCTCTAAGTCTCCCTCTAAATTTACAGGCTTAAGTCATCTTTCTTTTCTATTTGATTAAAGCATAATTGAGCAAGTCATAACCATAAGAACATGGTCATATAAGATACAATTCAACACTTCAAATCTTAAGAGTCACCTGATTGTTTCCTTAAAGAATACTTCCTTTACTAGCTCATGAAGTTTTTTTCTTTTGTTATTTAACCAAGGAATTTTTCATCTTTCCCTTCCCTGTGTAAGGATGATTAGTCCTCTCATGCTTTCAAAGCATTGTACCATCTTCTTTAAGACATTTTAATCTACCTAGATAGTTGTCACAGTTTTACTGAAATATTTTCCACTGTGGATTGAAACATGATCAGTGTTGTTTGTTGTGGTTGTCCTTTATCTGACTTTTCTCAACCATAAAATAATCCTATTTAGGGCACTCCGAACTCTACAAATTGTATCTGTCTCATAAATTCTGCCTGAGTCGCTTATTCCCTCTAACTGCCCAGATGCAGAAGGAAAGAGTCATCTTCCACTGTTACCTCCTAAGAATTTTCTACTAAAACTTGCAGCTTTGCCAATCAAAAAACCACTCAAACCTTGAATAACTCTAGAGCCTTTTTGCCTTCCCCATTTGCCTGAATGCAGTTTCCATCCTTTTTAGAGCTTTTTCAGCTAAGAGGAGGGAATCAGAATCAAATCCTTCCCACCCCAGCCCCAGCTCTGTAGTCAGACCTGAGAAATGCCTAAAATATGACTCAGCTTTTAATCTCCTGAAGTAGACAAACAGTGCTAGCAATAGAAAATTTTCCTGTGGCTGGTGAATGCTCCCTCAGAGGTAGGCAAAGGGTTAAGCATCTGAAGGCAGCCCTAGCCCGGGAACTTCACATTTGCAGCTAGCCCAGCAAAAAAAGAAGGAAAATAAGTAGGCTACAAGTAAATGTCCTAGGCAGAGGGGCTGTCTACCTCTGATGGGAGGCAAACCTATCAGAGCCAGGCAGTTTGCACAAGTTGAGGGGTTTTGCCCTGTACTTGTGTCTGGGTCTGTGGGCAATCAGACGCCTTGTAATTTGAGATGTGACACCTTAATCTTGCCAAATATGTGTGCACTGTAAAAAGCATTGTAGACAGGGTGTTTTCGCAGCTATAGAAAATGGAGACATGTTTGGTCCTTGTAGTTTTCCAACCTTTCCTCTGAAGACGTTTCTGTTGTTCTGAAGCTCTTTTTTTCTAGATATTTTTACATCTTCATCTGTCATTCTGGGTGTGGGGTTTTTTTGGTTTTTTTTTAATGCTAACTCTTAGCACAAGTGGATTATTTTTACATTTTAAACATGTTTCTGAATTGTTGATGAGAAACAATAAAGCTCCCAAATGGTCATCTTATTTTACATGTAGTCCTTGGATCTGAGGTTCCAACACAGCAAAAAAAAATTGTTCCTTTGAACAAGTCTCTGTTCTGTCTTGAAGAATTTGAAATATTGCTCAAAGCGTGCTCTAGAAAGTCACCTTTAAATTCTGGGGATTTTAATTGGAATAATTACTAGACATTGATAAATATGCACTTGATCATACTTCAAAATATGTAGTATTTTATATACTTTGAAGACGTGTATTTTTTGCTACATATTAACAGATACCACTGTAATTGTGTTTCATGTTAAAAAATCGAATATTTATAGAGAAGATATGCATGTGAGTATGTAAATGGATGAAAATTTTATTGGGTTTGATGCATGCCTTGGGTCATTATAAAAGCAGGGAGTTGGTTTTCCCCACTAACCGTTAGCTTTTGCAACAGCACCACTTTGTGGTTGAAGTCCCGAATAGATACTGAAAGGGGAAATGTCTGTAGGGACACCACATGCGCTTCAGCAGGTTTGCACTATTTCCATGGTGGTTTTGATATACATCGACAAACGCACTTAACCTGCGATGGAAATACCTTCCAGCCACATGGTCCTCCATTTATGAGATGGTAGTTTTGAAGTGAAGACAAAGAAGAAGAAGTGGAAGCAGATTAGCTCTGAACATTTTGTCTAAGAACTTAAATTCAGGAGGCTGTTCGCCTTTCAAATGTCAAAATCACTTTTGTCCGAGTTTCCAGAATTTAATAAAGGGTCTGACAACATCTCTAAAAAAGATTTTTCTTTGACATGTGTTGTAAATGTTTTGTTAAAAGTTAAAATGAATCTAAGCATGGTTTTCTTTAATTGGTAGAAATGGTGGTGGGAAAGAATAGGTTATTTTAGAAATTATTTATTTAAACATTATTTAAATACTATTTCAAGAATACCAGTGGTACCATTTCAGAGGTGAAAGAATTGCTGAAACCTCTTTGACATTGGCCTTCTATTGGCACTTGCATTCGTGCTGAACTTGAGTCATCATGTATGCTCAGATTTGAGTTTTCCTTACATCCTTGTACCCAGGCTAGAGAAATGACAAGTATCAAAGAGAAATTCCAAGCAAGATTCACAAACAAAGTCGAATTTGATTCTGATACACATTTCTTGGAAAGCTGTCTTCTGCAGTTTTTCATCTTTCACTAAAAAATAATCTGATAAATTCTTAAAATAATTACAATGGCTCATAACAATTAACACAGTAGATCAAAGATGACACAGTGAAAAACATGTACCCAGATCTGTAGACATGCCAAGAGTAGGATGGAAAAAATGCAGGGCAATAACCATGAATTAGGGTCACACCCTGTAAGTCATTGCTCTTCAGAGGTATCCCTAAAAGCAATATACTTTACAGAGTTAGCTTTTATGTAGTTCACCTGTAAACTTGTTTTCTTGACTGAGAATTACCAAAGTGAGGTGAAAGAGGATTATAGTTTTAATTAAAATAATAAGTAACAGACTATTTTGTACCTACGAAGTACCACTACTAGCACTTTCTCATGTGAAATATTTTACACACACACAACACAGTATTTGGCCAAAGATTTCAAGTGTTTTACCAATGCTTTTCATTTCTAAGTTTCCCTGTTTAATGAAATGTAGGGATCTGCACTCCTATATCAAAACAAAGCTATATATTAAGTAATATACAAGAGAGGACTTCCACTTGCCAATATATAGCTATGTTTTGGCAATAGGGTTATGGATCATTACAAATCTTCTCTACTATACTGATGTGTTACATCACTTATCTGTTTAGCACATATTTTGGACTTGTGTAATATTTGTCTTTTTCTGATGGTATCTACTTTTCCCGGAGACAGTCTTTATTGCAGGAATAATTAATTGTTGCAGCGGAGCAAGGTTAGTTGATGATAGGCATCATTTCTGGAAACAAAAAAAAAATCTTCTTTGTAACAATAGGCATACTTTTAGCCTCTACTCATTTGTTATGATTTCCAAATTAGTTGAACAGAACTCGCATGACTATCTGCAAAAAAGTTATTTCTTACTTACATAAATGATAGGAAAAAAAGTCAAATTAAACCTACATAAAGAAGTTTGGTTCTGGTATTTATGCTGGAACTGGGAAGAGGTACCTTCAGTTTTTAATGATCCTAGATGAGGAAGAAGATATTTGGAATCACAACACCATTCTTTTGCAAGGAAGATAAATTCCACACTGGGACATATAAAGAGGTGCCTAGCCTGCAAGATACATAAAATACTCTGGTAAGACATCAGCTAGGATGTAGGATCCAGTTCTGACCAAGTTCAAGTCAGAGAAGACCTGGAAAATGACAGAAGCAATGATTAAATGTGTAATATAGTTTAAAACATAATAAATGATGAAAAATGAAAAATTGGAATTGCCCACCAAAGAAGAGAGAACTTGCAAGGTGTTATGATTGAATATTTCAAGCTCATAAAAAGCTTCTGCATAGAAGAGACCAGCTCACATCCTGAATGACTGGGACAAAAATTGATAAGTTGCAGCAAGAAAAGTTCAAGTTAGAAATGAGGAAAAACTGGAGAGCCCAAGCTCCAGAATTGGTTGCCTGGGGCTGCTGTGATATCTGCCTCATTGAAGGTCCACACCAACAGGGTAAAGAA